AGACACCATGTATTTTCCAACTTAATTCCTCAGGGGTGACAAGGGTGTCTGAGGTAGAGTCCAGTTAACCCAGTGGAGTTTCCACATTGGATCTCACTGAAGGAGCCTGTGGAGCATGCTGTGTGCCCTGCTGATCCAAGATTCAGTGTTCCAGCATTACACAGCACCCAGCCTGGGTCCCCAGGATGTACCCAGAAGCCTGGGTCAATGAGTCCTGTTTAGTGAATACCACCAAAGACACTCCCCTCTCTTGTCCCTCAAAGCATTTTCAGTCATCCCCCTCCCCTCCAACTGAAGGTTGGTCCTCCCTCTTTTCCTACCAACAGACATTCATTTGTGTCCCCAAGACGTGTTTGCTCCTTTTGCCTCTCCTGACATGTCTTTCCCTTCAGTATCCCTCATCCCTCTGATAGGGCTTTCTAATTGTCCACGGGGGCATCATCATAGATTTACATGGCTGCCACTCAGTAGACAACATCCCCGCCCCCTTCCTTGACCACGTGATCCCAGCTGAAGTGAGGTGCCCACAGACAAAATGCCCTTCAAAATACTTACCTAGGGTGGATGGTGGATGGTTCATTGGCACTAGTCAGCCTTTCAACCAGTCTGCCTGGCCCCACAGGCCAGCCGACTAGATGCCCTGCAGGCCTGAGCGTGTGCTTCTTCTGCAGGTTGTTCCTACACCAGTGGATTCATACAGTATTTGTCCTCTTGTGCTTGGCTAACTTCACTCAGCATAGTTTCTTCCTGATCCCTCCACATCTTGAGGGGTTTCATAGTTTCATCTCTGTTTTTAGGGGTGTGTATTATTCCATTGTGGGTAGGTACTAGAGTTTTTTTATCCAGTCTTGTACTGATGGGAAATTAGGCTGCTTCCAGCTTCTTGCTATTGTGCAGCAATGAACATGGGCGATGGAGCATGCCTTTTATGAATGATGTCACCTCTGCTTTTTTCCCCCTAATTCTACAAATATACTTACTAGAAATTAAGAGAATTACTTGAAATAGAAAGTCTCTTTCCTATTTTTCATTTAGATTTACACACAGATTTAAGTTATTTTTTTTTTAATTTTCCCACTATCGGTAGTTCATTTAACCCAATTAATGCCCAGTTGGCATTTTCAGAGTCCTTTCACTACAGCCATAGTCTATATCTAAAACTAGGTTTCGTGCCACTGATATTTTGTGGTCTGTGTGATGTTGATACAGCTCTTGTCTAGGTGTTAAATATTTCAGTCAATAGAATTTAAAGGGTGGTTTACTTTAGAAAATAAAATAGCTTCTCAGGATTAGACTCCAATTTTAATTCAATTACATTTTGGAAAAGAAAAGATTTGGTGCAGTTTACTTCCTGTTGTAAAATTGGGTGAGATATCACCTGAACTTATATATTACACATTCATTTGACATTGCTGTATCCTTCTGATAAAAAGGGAGACTGGGCAAAAAGAACCAATCAACTGTTGCTGAAGGAGCACATTATTTCTTTTAGGTAAAGGCATAGCCCACTTTGTAAGTAAGAGTTGAGGAAAATTGCAAGTTGTGTCTATAGGGCACTAGAGGAATTTATGTGGAAGGTTGTGGCCTCCTAACATTTATTTAGAAATTTGATTGCTGAATATACTATTTCTGACTTATAATTTGAAACACAAACTTCTAGATGAAGTAGATTGATTATCACTCCCTCTCTCACTACCACTGAGTCAATCTTGGTGCATAGTGACCCTATAGGACAGGGTTTCTGAGACTGAGTAACTTTTGGTGGGGGAATAGAGAGCCTCATTTTCTCACACGGAGCAGCATGTGGTTTCAGACTGCTGACCTTGTGTTTTGCAGCACAATGAGTAACCACTATGCCACGAGGGTAATGCATGCATAGGGTAATACTACACTACAGGGGTAATGCATGCATAAGGTAATACTACACTACAGGGGTAATGCATGCTTAGGGTAACACTACACTATGAGGGCAATGCATGCATAGGGTAATACCACCTATTGCCATCAAGTTGACTCTAACTCTGGGCAACCCTATAGGACATACTAGAACTGGTCCCTTGTCTTTCTCGTGATGCAAACCAGTGTTTCCCAAAGTTTGCGATGCCTCTCCCTGGATGTTTCAAAATCCAAGGGGACTCTAAATAAATTTGTTCCTGAAAAAAGGCCAGTAAAGAAGTATAAGGACTAAATTCTATATATTGAGAATCAAATTTACTTTGAAATCAAGGCATTTGATGTATTGGGGAAATTTGTGAACTGATTAGAAATATTGAATTATTAATTGGAAAGGCCTTAAAATGAATTTTGTTTGTTTTCAGTACCCAATCTGTCCCAATGAATGATATACATGCTATTAATACTTCTTGTAGTTTTCTTCTAAACCCTCTATTTAAACCCTAAACCCTACAAATACCTTGTAGTGGATATTTCATTTATTGGATTGGTATTTGGAGTTAATTAAATGAGTATAAGAAATTATTTGACAGTCATGGAAGACTAATACAATTTTCTCTGTCATTATGTTAGGGATGTAATCTACTGCTATTTGTACTTTTTAATAGATGGTTACAGTTTATTCGGGTGAATCAAAGCTAATAGCTCTAAAGTTATTTGTAGAATTCAATTTCATATGTAATTCTTGTTTTTATTTCTTTAGATAATCCAGACTCTGCTCTACTCCTATTCCTTTGTATTGTTTTCAAATACCACATTTCAAGGAAGAGTGACTTAGCTTAAAGGTTTTACAAATATATCAAAGACGTCTCTTTAAGTGGATACCTGTCAACAGGTAAAGCTATACTTTTAATTCTTTAAGAAATATATATTTTTATATAAATAAAATAAACAAGGCATTGAAGCATTAAGTTGTATAAGGCATCATAGAATTGTGCATAAGAAAATAATGGGAGCAATTAATATGTAGCAATTGGATCTTTGCTATTGGTCAACTGAAAGGGTCTTATTAAGGAATAACGGACACTTAGAAATGGGAAAGTTTGTAAGGGGCTATTAGATTCTGCCTCTATTTTCCGGTGATGCAGCTAAGATGACACTACCGAGAAGAAAGAAGCAGGCATGAGTAAGTGAAGAGGCATGAGGGATAATTGCCACGGGCAGTGGGAATCATGACTAAAATGAAGTAAAGGTTTTAAAATAATTACATATTGCATACTGATATCATAAAGCTATATAATATTTCTGTATCACTATGGAAAATAGTATGAAATGTAAGAATACGAAAACAAGGAAGATTAGGAGAAACCTGGCTTAATCATGCATGCACACATGATATTTAAGCCGAGGAATATTATGAAAAGAATACTGTGCAGCATCTGAGAACGCAGACGCTGGACTTGCATAACGAAAGTGAGCAGAGGACAGAAGCAGAGAAACGACCCTGTCACGACCACAGGTCACAGGAGAAGGAAGGCCCCTGTGCCTTCCAAGACTATCCGTCTTTACAGGCGTAGAAAGCCTCATGAATAAGGAAGCTGGCATGATTATGAGCACTGATGATTCAAACAGCAAATATGCAGCTTCAGACCAAGTGTATTAGAAAAACATAAGGTCTAATAGTTGGAGAGTTAGAACCAGAGAATCTTACCTAATAATCTTGAAGGCCAGAGAAAAATGAGAAACCGTTGATCATCTACGGAAGGCTCAGGTGCAGGTTACAAACTGTTATCTAAAATTGTTAAAGAGCATCATTTCTTGCCTAAAAGATGGCTGTGGAGTTGATTAATGGCTAGTAGGGAAGTGTGTGTGTGTGTGTGTGTGTGTGTGTGTGTGTGTGTGTGTGTGAAAGAGAAAAATGGGAGGGATTAAGGGACAGGATAGAAGATGTCATTATTTAAAATTCCATACTCCTTTCAGTTTTAGGTAGGCTTCTGCTTTTATTTCCAATTCTCTTGGGGGTTTGAATAGTGGATTCTTCATTTGATTGTATATATCTTTGTCATTACATTCAGCAAATATTCGCTGACATGTTTTGTTTAGCATGTTTCTGGGGGCTGCTGTCAAAGTCAATGTCGTCCCAGACACCTGTGCCACAACTGCTGCTGCCATTAGCCATGGTGTCCCTTCCCGTCTGAGGAAACATGGATCAAATATTTGCTCAACCAAATAGTTACAGGGCCTACGTTTTATATGTTTGTTTGGGTGGGTTTTTTTTATGCCAAAAGACATGGCACAATGAGTAAGATTTTCCCAAATATTTATCCATCCAAGTATTGTGTATTTGGTAAACATGTCAATAACTGGGCTAGGAATTGGGACTATAATTATCAGCTTGATGATGTTGCATTGTAGACCCTAGTGGGAAAAACATATATTGAGGGAAAATATTAGAACAGTTTCATGAGGACAACAATACCATAAGTGTTTCCAAGGTAGGTTTTTATAAGAGTAGGGGATTTGGAGCAGAAATTATTTATACAGCATAGAAATAGTTCCACAGTTATAAAGATGTAGGCAACCAGAAGCAGCTCTGTGAAAACCGCTCTATTATTTAGAAGGGATATGCATACGTAATTCCCTTCCTTGCTTCACCGTGAAACAAGGAAAAATCCAGAGCGCTGTTGATTATTGAGGTTAGGAAAATGATGACTGTAGGATGTGTATGAGAATTCACTTATTCATATGTATAAAGTATTTTTAAGTTTTAGTCATGTCATCTTGTTCATTGCAAGCTATTCTGATTTCTCTCCATGAGTTATTATAAAATATTGTTATGTTTTAAGTACATCTGTCAAAGTCACCCTAAAAAATAAATTATAGTAATGATTTTTCACATTGCTACTTTCATTGAACTATTCCTCATCTTAATATTTGTGCTAATAAACTAGTGCTGTCCTTCTAAAGCTTGTTATCCTTCCTCTTATATGAGTTTCAGACAGTAAAGTCTGTGGACAAACTAGGAAAATTTAATATGGACAGTCTTTTCATGCAGTATCTGGAAATGCACTTGACTCCAAGCTCACAATGATCAAGTCCGTTCTGATCCACGGTGACCGTGGAGGACGGGGCAGAGCTGCCCTGTGAGTCTGCGACAGTGGCCCTTCAGGAGGAGAAAGCTCCATCTTCCTCCGGCAGAGCAGCTCCTGCCTTCAGATTGCCGACCGTGTGGAGAGCAGCCCAGTGTCTAACTCACTGCAACACTGGTGCTCTCCATTGGGGCTATCTCAGAAACAACTTTACATTGAACAAAAGATAAGCCTTTGCCATGGTTTTCATAGACATTTATTTGTTTATTTTTTCAGCAAGTTTTCTGAAGATGTGTGGCAACATTTCATTTTGTTCCTTATTTGCAGGATATCAACATATCAACAGCATAGCCATTCTCATTTTCTTCTACCTTTCTATTGAAAAAAATCTACACATAGAATGAAAATATTAAAATGAAGATATTGAGAAATTGTGGCACTGGCCAGATAAGCCCAGTGAGCAGCATTACTCTACTATGAATTACTCTATTACTCTACTATGAATTACTCTATTACTCTACTATGAATTACTCTGCATGATGTTAGGGGGCCAATATGATTTTAATTTAATTTAATTTCAAATACATTAGGCTGTGTATAATAATTTTCTTCCATAGAAATTAGTTTCTCTCTACACTAAAAATCAATGCAGTATCCCTCAGTATATTTCATTTAAAAAATCTGCCGTCTCTGTTATTATCCCACTTAACAACCACACCATCCATTTGATTGAGGAATTTCAGTGCTACAAAAATGCCTAAGAAGGTATCATTCATAAGATAAGGCAAAATTTTGGAAATGTATTAATATTGACTTATTCTGTAACATAGACTTATACAATTCCTTAACTTATAAGTTTAGTAAATGAATACAAAATACATTTTTATGTATTTTCAGTTATTAAAAGTAGAAAAATGCTATAATATACCTATTAATTATCATGTTGTAAGACTTATAAGATTTAATGCATGGTACATTTTTAACTTTTATTATAAAAACCTATTTAAATTAAGAAAGTATTATGTTGCAACCAAAGTCAGCTATAACTTTCTTATGCTTATAAATAACGTTGATATAACTTTTATCTTCTGATTGCTAGAATTTAGATTCAGATCTAAATTCTTTTTTTTTTTTT